GTCTAGGCTGAGGTTGATGGTGTGGTGGAAGCTGTTGAAATCGTGGTGGAATTCTTCCAGAGTCTCCTGCCCATGGGTCTCTACCAAAGTAAACAGCTGTGGTATGTCAACATTTTCCAGTATATTGTTAACCACACTGATGGTTTCAAAGTCCAATATAACAAATTTTTATAACAAGCGTCAAAATGTGGGACACCATGGGAGCTTTCTGATTGGATGCTAATGTAAGTAAAGCCCAGTTAATGCTCTGTTTAACTTGTGTTAAAAATTCCCATTCACATAATGTCAGTATGGCACCCCAGGCTGTACAATTTTGCTTACTGAGCTCAATAAGTGACTGTCATATAGCCTTCCTCTTATATCTTACAATTACACAGCTATAGGCAGAGCTTGTTGTGCAACCTGTAGTTAAGGCCCATACAAACTTAATTTGTCCCTGTGTGCATCTCATATAATCATATGGAAGACTGGAAGGGATCTCAAGAGGTCGTCTAGTCCAGTCCCTTGCACTCCTGACAGGACTAAGTATTATCTAGACCATCCCTGACAAGTGTTTGTCTAAATTGCTCTTAAAAATCTCCAGTGATGGAGATTCCACAGCCTCCCTGGGCAATTTATTCCAGTATTTAACCACCCTAATGGTTAGGAAGTTTTTCCTAATGTCCAACCTAAACTGACTTCGCTGCAATTTAAGTCCATTGCTTCTTGTCCTATCCTCAGAAGTTAATGAGAATAATTTTTCTCCCTCCTTCTTGTAACAACCTTTTATGTATCTGAAAACTGTTATCATGTCCAGGGGCAGATTAGGGTTTTGTGGGGCCCCTGGGCCAGAGCAAGTGGAGACCTCTCCCCACCCCTTCTGCCTGCAGTCCTCCCGGTCCGTCCCCTAGCACTCCTGCTGGGGAGTGGGGTTAAGGTGTGGGGGCTTGCCCTGCTCTGCCCACCCGGTGCTCCTGCCGGGGAGCCCCCAGGCTCCAACCCTGCTCCCTAGTTGGTGCACTGGGAGGACAGGCAGAGCAGGGCAAGACCCTGTGCCCTGACCCCGCTCCCCGGCATGAATACCAGGCGGGCGGAGTGCGGAGGGTGTCCATTTTTCTGGGGCCCCCCAGTGGCCCAGTGGCTAATCCGCCACTGATCATGTCCCCTCTTAGTCTCCTCTTCTCCAGACTAAACAAATCCAATTTTTTCAATCTTCCCTCATAGGCCTGGACTTCCAATTTGTCCACATCTTTCCTGAAATGTGGCACCCAGATCTGGGCACAATACTCCAGTTGAGGCCTAATTAGTATGGAGTAGAGTGGAAGAATTACTTCTTGTGTCTTGCTTAAAACACTCCTGTTAATACATCCCAGAATGATGTTTGCTATTTTAGCCACAGTGTTATACTTTTGACTCATATTTAGCTTGTGATCCACTATGACCTCCAGATCCCTTTCCGCAATATTCCTTCGTAGGCAGTCATTTCCCATTTCGTATATGTGTAACTGATTGTTCCTTCCTAAATGGAGTACTTTGCATTTGTCTTATTGAATTTCATACTATTTTCTTCAGACCATTTCTCCAGTTTGTGCAGATCATTTTGAATTTTAATCCTATCCTCCAAAGTACTTGCAACCCTTTCCAGCTTGGTATCGTCCACAAACTTCGTAAATGTACTCTCTATGCCATTATCTAAATCACTAATGACGATAGTGAACAGAACTAGACCCAGAACTAATCCCTGCAGTACCCCACTTGATATGCCCTTCCAGCTTGACTGTGAACCACTGATAACTACTCTCTGGGAATGATTTTCCAACCAGTTTTGCACCCACCTTATAGTAGCTCCATCTAGGTTGTATTTCACTAGTTTGTTTATGAGAAAGTCATGCGAGACAGTATCAAAAGTTTTACTAACATCAAGATATACCACATCTACTGCTTCCCCACATCCACAAGGCTTGTTACTCTGTCAAAGAAAGCTATTAGGCTGGTTTGACACGATTTGTTCTTGACAAATCCATGCTGACTGTTACTTATCATCTTATTATCTTCTAGGTGTTTGCAAATTGATTGCTTAATTATTTGCTCCATTATCTTTCCGTGTACTGAAATTAAACTGACTGGTCTGTAATTCCCCGGGTTGTCCTTATTTCCCCTTTTATGGATGGGTACTATATTTGCCCTTTTCCAGTCCTCTTGAATCTTTCCCATCTACCATGACTTTTCGAAGCCTTATGAAATAGTCTTTAATTACATGATCACATTCAATTTTGACCACATGACTCATGCCTCATTCAGTGCATGGGTAGCTATTCGATATATCTTGCACATTCAATATGTGGCCCCAGTCCTTATTAAACACCCACCGTCCAAACGTTGCATTCAACGTTCATTCAAAATGATTAATTTCCTCACATGTGTTTCTATGATGCTCTCACCAGAGTATCTGAGTGCTTCACAACATAAGTGAATATATTGAGTGTTTCCTCAATACATTCCTTTAACAGTTTTTGTAATGTAATTATTTATGTATATAAGAATTTATTTTACAGCAGGCACTGATTGTCAAAAGCCATGCTCTGGTTGACCAGCTGGGCCTTTGTGATGATGTTACACCTGATGGGCACCAAATTCCACTTGTGCATGGCCCAGAACTCAAAATACACTAAAAGAAATTCCCTGTACCTATTATTATAGGCTGGCTTGTGTCATCCTGATGCTGAGTAGTGCTGTTACTTGGTGAGTAGTCCCACTGAAATCAATGGGATTATTTATAACATAAATATGGGTGGGACACTTTCTAACATGAGTATGGATGGGGCAATCTGGCTCTGATTATATTCAGCAGTTTCGCTCTGATGAACTGCCAGTGCAGAGGAGCTTTGATTTTCTGGAGAAAAGTTTTTTTGTGTAGGATCCCTTGTGGAACTCAGGGTTTTCTCCTAATTCCACTATGCCATTTACCAGTGGGAATGACTAGGTTTATATAAAGATGTCTGTGACAGCTGCTAGTGTTGTATAGAGACAGATTTCAGAGTAGCAGCCGTGTTAGTCTGTATCCGCAAAAAGAAGAACAGGAGAATTTGTGGCACGTCTCTAAGGTGCCACAAGTACTCCTGTTCTTCTTTTTATAGAGACAGAGTTGCATTTGGCATCTAAATCACAGAACTGGGACTGGGACTCATGGGACTCTGTGTGAGAACAGGAGGACCAATGCAAGAAAATGTGGGGTTGTTTCTGTATCATTTCAGCTAGCAGGGCTCCCTCCCCAGACCAGTAGCATGAGGTATTCTGGCCTGTTCTGGAATGTAGGGCCAAATTCTTGGGGGAGGTGAGTTTCGCTCCCTCTAAAACTCAGTTCCTAGATCAAAGCAAATTCCAACATATGTTTAGTTATTGTTTTTTCTGTAAATGGCAGGCTACATCAGAACTGAGCAGGGCACGTGGCCCATGTCTATGAGAAAGCTCTGAGTCCAGTTTCTTTTTTATGGTCTTTTTAAATCAGTGTAAATCATTTTGAGATTTTTTTTATACTTTATAGTGTGTTTTAATGATAAAGCTGTAAATGTTTTTGTTCTTGTTTGATGCAGAGAAATTGAGAACAAACAAAAGGTAAAAGGGACATACAGCAGGCAGAAACTTGCCCATGGACTTTCAGTTGCCACTTAGTGCCCATAAATGCTTACAGTCAATGTAAGCAGAACAAACTCTATTCCAATAGGTTGCACAATATACAAGTTACACTCATCAGATAGCAAAACACGTTGCCTAGGTATCTTTGGCTAAATAGTACTTTAAAGGGAAAAAACAAAAGCACCCTAGCGGGAAAATCCATGCTAACCATGGGATAATGTAGACTCGTCATGTAGCTCGGGAGGTCATTCCCTAGTGCCAGGAATGGGGACCTGCTATTACAATGGCTAGCAGCTGTGTAGAAAGCCATGGAGGGGCCGTGGAACAGCCGGGGAGATCTCCCAGCAAGAAGCCCAGCTGACTGTTACTGAGCCCTCCCAAAGTTGCGCTATCCAGAGAGGTGGCTTGGCCACATCAGGGCCCATCGCAGCTGCGGGCTGCTTGCCTAGAGCCCTGCAAATCCGCGGGTGTCCGCTTTATATCTGGGCACCATTTCTGCAGATAGCTGTACAGATGCAGATACAAATTTTGTATCCACGCAGGGCTCTGATGGTAAGAGCCGGGCGGGCAGCTGTGAGGAACCGAGGCACGGATCTTCCACCTGCCCTGGGCGTGGGGCCTGAGGGGCAAGGACATTGGGCGGGGGGCTGATTGGGCCCCATGCCCAGAGCAGATGAAGGGTCCTCTGTGGCTCTGTACTGCTGCCCGCCCAGCTTTTACCGTGGCGGGGCTGCAGCTCCAAGCTGCCCCTCACCCTGGCCGGGTCGGGGAGAGCTGTGCTGTCAGCTGTGGGGAGCCTGCGTCCCTCCACCTGCCCTCCGCAGAGGGGCTGGGGGCAGGGACACTGGGCAGAGGGGCTGGGGGGCAGGGACACTGAGCAGGGGCACTGGAGGGCAGGAACACTGGGCAGGGCACTGGAGGGCAGGGACGTTGGGCAGGGGGGCAGGGACATTTAGTGCGAGGGGGAACAGGGACATGGGCCAGGGCTGCTCGGGCAGGCAGGCAGAAGGTCTGCCACGGATCCCCAAAGCTGCCAGGCCGCTCTCCCGGACCGGGCTCTGATGGGGGGGCCAAGAATGACCAGACAGCAAAGGTGAAAAATCAGGACAGGGGTTGGTGGGTAACAGGTACTGTGTCTATATAAGAAAAAGACCCCAAAATCGGGACTGTCCCTATAAAATCAGGACAGCTGGTCACCCTAGCCTGGCTCCCATGGTGGAGCCCTGCAACTCCGCCGATATCAGCAGTGAGCCGCAGGTAATTTTTGCGGCTCGTGGATGCGATGCGGAGACACGTGTGTCTCTGCGCGGGGCTCTCAGCCTGCCCACAGTACACAGCCCTCAGCGGCAAGAACCCGCCAGCCGCTGCGCCAACAAGCGCCCCGACGGCGGCGGTGCAGTCAGCGGGCGCCCGAGGGGGGCTGCGGGCCCGGCCCGGGCGCTGCCTGCTAGGGCGTCTCCCGGCCCGTCGCTTATTTAACTCCGGGGGCGGGGCGGGGCGGCGCTTACACAACAGTCGGGCGGCGGCGGGAGCGGCGCCATGTCCTGGTACCGGAACACCGTGTGGTTCCTGAAGGGGCTGCGGGAGTACACCAGGTACCGGGCGCCGGGGGGGCCGGGCAGCCGGCCCCTGAGCTCTGCCTGGGGCTGCCCGAGCAGGGGGCTCCCGCGGCGAGCGGCCGCGCGCACAGCCCGCGCCGACCCCGAGCCTGCAGGCGGGCGCAGCTGGGCGCTGGGGTCGGGGCTGTCCCCGGCCCTCGGGCTTTCCAGCTTGAGGTCGCCGCAGTCCGGGGCGGGAGGCGAGGCCCCGTTGAGCGTCCTGGTGCTTGGCTGGGTGCAAGCCGGTTGCCTCTGCAGCCTTGGTAGGAAAAAGCTGCCCCCTTGAGTCTCCTCTCCCTTGCTGCGCCCTGAGCCTTCGGGTGGGATTGGCTGCTTGCTTCAAGGGGGCGCCTCGGCAGCTCCTCATGCAAGCCCGGCAACAGTGGGGAGCTGGGTTACTCCTCTGTCAGAGGCACCGAGAAAGCAAGGTCGGCTTGGGTTGTATCTGGCTGTCGGCGGCGCAGATCTGGAGTTTAGCGTGCGGGTTTAGCTGCTGAAACCATCCAGAGTGTGACTGACCCAGGGACTTCAGAGCATAGACCGGGTCCACAGCTGTAAGGTCTTTGGTTTGGCATGCTGGGTGTAAGTCACAGCATTGTGGATCGTCACATTGTCTACAAAAACCTTCAGAACTCCACAGGTCTCTTCACAGATGGACCCAGAAATGTGCTGCCCCTCTCCACCCCACATCGAGCCAAGTGACAGATAGCCAGCTTTGTAATACCTTGGGGATGTTATCACAAAGCACTTTCCAGTGGCACTTAGCACCTCCTTCCCTTAGTCCTTTACCGCACCCAGATATAATGACTTTATTGGCAGGCTGCGGAGCAGATCTTGCATAGGGACTGCCACTCTGGCTCAGACTGAGGGATATCTGCTGCAGGATCCTGTCTCTGAAAGTGGCTAGTATCAGCTGCTTCAGAGGAAGGTGTAAGACCCTTGCAGTAAGCCGATATGGGATAATCTGCCCCTGACGTAGGTCTCTGCCTGATCTCTCTAATAAGAGATTGTCTTAACCCCTTAAATGTGAAGTTTAATATCCCATCTAACATGTTGGTTGCCATTAATTCTGGCTATCCATCTAAATGTTCAATCCTTGCCGAATCGTGCTGAGTTCTTGGCCTCAGTGCCTTTCCATGGCAACCAGTTCAATAACATTGTGTGTGAAAAAGCATTTCCTTTTATTGGTTTTGAATTTCCTACCTTGTAATTTCATTGAATGCCCCCTGTGTGGGGTCAGGAAGGCATTTCCCCCCAGGTCAGATTGGCAGTGACCTGAAGGAGTTTTCACCCTCCTCTGCAGAGTGTGGAAACAGGTGACTTGTCAGGGTTATCTGGATATACACCTCTACCCCGATATAACACGAATTCGGATATAACATGGTAAAGCAGCGCTCGGGGGGGGGCTGCGTGCTTCAGAGGATCAAAACAAGTTCGATATAAAGCAAAGCAAGTTTCACCTATAACATGGTAAGTTTTTTTGGCTCCCGAGGACAGCGTTATATCTGGGTAGAGGTGTATCTCATTTGATCATTTCCCTGCCATTGCAGGGACCTTGAGTGCGGTCCCTCCTGTTCTCTGCTTGTGTCATTTAGTAATCTAATCTCCCATGGGTGTCATTTACATCAGTCTCACTTCGGTGGTTGGGTTTAGAGTGTGGGTGCTAGGTGGTGTTGGGGGTCCTGTGAGATACAGGTGGTCAGACTGGATGATCTAGTGGTCCTTTCTGACCTTAAATTCTGATTCTTGTCTTATTTCTTTAAAGTGTGTGTACACACACACACACACACACACACATACACACACACTGTAAAACAGATTTCCTATCTGTGTATATTCTTATTCACATATTCTTGCTGATCAGTGCCTTTTAATGTTGCATCAAAAACTCCTAGAGCAATAGATGGGGACATGTTATATTAGAAAGCTAAAGAAAATAAATAAATAGTTAAATTGAGTCCTGGTAGTGGATCCCCTTTTTCTTTCTTCCACTGAAGACTGTATCTTTGTGATTTATTCAGGAGTGGCTATGACTCTGCATCCAAACACTTTGTTCCGGCAGATTTGGAGGTAAATGTAACTGGAAGATCCTTCATGATTACTGGAGCAAACAGTGGTATTGGCAAAGCAACTGCAACGGAGATAGCAAAGAGAGGTGAGATGAAACAGTGGCTCTCAACCAGAGAAACGTATACCCCCAGGCGTATGCAGCGGTCTTCAAGGAGGTAGTCAACTCATCTAGATTAGGGTTTCTCAACTTTGGGATTATGAACCATAGGGGAGTCACTGGACAGGTTTGGGGGGGTCACAAGTGCATGGCTGGAATTATGGGGAGGCAAGCAGGGAAATTGCCTGGGACCCCATGCCACAGGGCAACCTGCAAATTTAAAATACATGCTTCAGCTCTGGATGGTGGGGGCTCAGGCTTCAGACTCTGAAAGAGGTACAGTAGTCTGGAACGGTTGAGAACCACTGAGCTAAACCAATGTTAACCTTTTGGGGATCTTCACAAAGTGTGATAGAAGTTTAACTGGAAAAGTGTTCATCCTTCTGACTATAGGATTCTGCTTTTCAAGACGTTCTAGCTCCCATTTTCAGGGGTAGGATGTTTCATATGAAAAACAACTGTCTTCAGAGGGGCATATTTGGGGTTTGAGCACCTTGTATGGTTCTTTGGCAGATCCTACCATGAATACTGGTCATGAAACAAAAGTAACAAGTGGAGGGGAGCCACGAAATATTACGGGGTGGTAGCTAAAGGTCTCCATCATGGATCAAGACAGTTTAGGCCTAGGCACCGTACAGACAGGGTAAAGTAAGACAGTCTCTGCCTCAAAGAATTTATAGTCTTAAGGTGTGAAGAGACAACAGATAGATAAGACCAACAAAAGGCGGGGAGGACAAGGTAACAGTGAGACAATTGCGTTTGGTACAATAGTCAGCAGTGTCTACACACCAACTACCTTACTTGATTGCATGCAAAAAAATTTCAACTGCTATTCTTGTACTAGCTATCTGGAGTGCAGCATAACAGGCTGCCCCAGGCAAGTCCAAATTGATGTGGTCACAGTGCCAGTATTTCAACACGGGTACAAAATGGACTTCACAATTGAGAGACAAGATGGGTGAGGTAATATCTCTTACTGAACCAACTTCTGTTGGTGAAAGAGTCAAGCTTTCAAGCTACAAGAGCTCTGTGTAACTCGAAAACTTCTCACCCACAGAATTTGATCCAATAAAAGATATTACGTCACCCATCTTGTCTCTCTAATATACTGGGACCAACATGGCTACAACAACACTGCAAACAATTCACAATTTGATACAGTCATATCCCAGCCCATCCCTTTTTGAGCTTGTATGATTCCAGAGATATTGCTCTGGGAACGTATGGAAACTTGTATTTAAAAACATCAAATACTATTTTTAGTCTTACCTTTCCCCACACCCCTCCACTTCACACCTAATTGTTAACTGTGATTCTTATGGAATTCCACCAGGTGGCACACTTCATCTGGTTTGCCGAAATAAAGAGAGAGCTGAAGAAGCTAAAAGAGAAATAACAACAGAAACTGGTAATCAGGTGAGTTTAGTGTATTGAGGTTTTTGTTAAGCAGTTTACCAGCAGTAAGACTTAGAAGATTTTATAAGTAGTTCTCTGCATTATCCCACCCACTTTCATTGTTAGCTGTTTTAGATTGCATATTAGAGGCACCCTCAGAAATCAGCAAAATATTTATCATTCTTTCTAATGGCTGCATTTGATGAAGTTTAATTTCCGCAGATGATGGTTTTTGATTGTTCTCCTGTATTGGGGGGTGTGTGTGTGTGTGTGTGTAGGCTGGTACACAGGATATTATTCAGGCCAGTGATATTCTTGTACTTTCTCTATTTTTAATATGTAACTCCCTACAATTTGCTATATGGCTGAGGCTTTTTACAGTGAATGTGTATAAAGCACATGCACATTGCTGCTGTAGACGTTCAGACCATTACCTTCCCAACCCCCCACAAAGTTGATCCTAGTCTCTTCTCATGCATTTGCAGATTTTTTCCATCTCCTGTACCTATGGTGTTCCACCCCTGCCTCCCCCCCTTCCCTGACAGTTCTTCTTCACACCAGTTTGTATCATTGTTCAACTCACCCTTGTGACTGCTCTTAATGTTGCACCACCAACTGTTCAGCTGTGGCCCCTCTTCAGTGGTGCCATCAGCATCTTCCTATCTTTTGCTGAGAGCTCCATTCGTGTTAGAAAGTGATGTGGCTCTTGACCAGAATGTTTCAGATCCACGAAGAGTCCTTAATTTAGATTAGAATCAAACATCTGACTTTCTATTTCTAACGATTTCGTACTGCTTGGGTTCCTGCTCTTTGGTCTCAGCTCCCCTGCTGTGAGAGAAACTGGAACTTTCCTAGTCCTCGAACTTTTGAGACACAAGCAAGTCAGCCCTATGTTGTGCCCCCTTTACAATGTTACATTCCAGTTGCTGACTAGAAGAAAAGCAGATTTCTCCCAAATAAATGGCCAAAAAGCATTTATTTAAGATAGGGTACCCTACTGGTTACACTGATCTACAATTTTTGAGAAGTCATCTGTTTCAGAGATAAAATGTGCTATTTATTATGTATTTTGATGTGCTGAATTCAGATATGACAATTAAAACAATTGATTGGTTACTGTTTCTAAGATATTTAAGTTTTTACATTTTGTCTATGTATATTGTGTAGATAATAGAGTTTTAATCATAAATTGTAAACCTAGGTCTTTTCATGTGTTTATGGTTGCTTTACATGATATTTCACCTGTCCTGTTTATGTAACACTTTAAAAATCAGCAAAAGGGTTATATAAATAAAATTTATTATGAAACAAAAGGCTAAAAACTATTATGTACATAGTTTAGTCCTATTCAGTGTCTACTTGGCGCTTCTTGGCTTGTCTCTTGTATTCATTAAATGGAGCATCTCTTGTCACTGTCCAGGAATAAGTCTGCAAGCATTGATGGGCTCCATTTGCCCTGATAGCGTTTCTCCATTGTTGCAATGTCCTGGTGAAATCGCTCGCCATGCTCGTCGCTCACTGCTCCGCAG